AATATACACTAGTAAATGAACTGTTGGAGTATATAAAGGAAATGTAAAAGTCGAAACATCCAGTAAATTATACCGTCATTGTGTGCAATATCAAACAATCTAATATGGTGCTTACATCACTGTGGTATTGCTGGCTGGGGATATCTATAGACTAAGGTGAGTACTTTCTAACTGTTCAAGTTATTCAGTAGTATGTTTTGTTAAAAAGGGATTTGGTTGTCAATCATTTGTAATACTTGCCTTCATTCTATGGTGAAGTTGTCTGTGATTCTGTTGTGTGGCTATACGACTGCATACCAGTTTTTATGATTCAGCTCTACTCTAAACTGTTTATTACATTACTACGGTTTGTCATCGTTAACTTTTCCTTACTATTATGCTTGAAATACCTAATTGATTAAAGTTCACTACTTTTTTTGAAACGTTAGCCAGTACAGTAACACCATTCTATTACATGAATATATGAATGATACGTTTAACGTTACCAGTTGACAATTCACTAACTTACACTGCAAGTGGTACTGAATATGTCGCATTTCATTGTAAACTAAGCATTTAACAGTAATGTATTTTCCTTTTGCAAAAATGCTCGTTTATGGCGGTGAAACACAAGGCGCGTGGCTGAGATGTGTTTTATTGTATATCCAGTAATCATCTATATCGTCGTCGAATGTTAACCGAAGTTGGCTTAGGTAGGAAGAGAGTAAAAATTGGCTATCAGTTAACGTAGTCCACCTGAGAGGCGATATCAGTGGTAAAAGACAATAGGCGATAAGGCTGATAATCAATCTCAATGACGTAGGTGCATTCAGACATTTCCTTCATCTTGATTATCAGATACAATTTCACAGTCACTTTAAACCTTACTGTCCTGTTCTAATAACTTTATTCTACTTGTGATTGTTTAGTTCCCCATCTTTACATTTTTCATCTTGGCGTCTTCCACCTTGATGTAGTAATATGAGATAGTGTAACTTGGACCGTTATGCATTAATGCCACGTCGCATTCTGATGCTGATTAATGCAGTGACTGACTAAACGAGATAAGAAAATTCAGCCCTGAATAATCTACTAAATGACAATAACATAGTAATTACTAAATAAAATTAAACTAATTCAACAGTAGTCACACACAAAGTGAATTATATCATTTCAATAAAGTTGACGAACATATCCAAACAGGACCATGTGAAGAGATCAAGAAGCCTTCAGTCAATGAATGTTATGAATAGAATTAAGAAGTATACAGCAGATCTGATACACCATCTAAAACCATCTCACATGAGTCTAAATGGTTTAATTTAATGCCTGAAACTAATAATCATAACAGAATTCATGGCACTGTCAAGGATTCATAAATCAGGTGATCCCATTAAATCCATGCTTGACTTTACATATGAACTAGCAAAGTAGTTAGCATCAATATTATGTCCTATTAGGAACCGTTCAAATTCTAGCCTAGTAGGTTCTTACCAGTTAAGACTAATGCTTGATGACCTATATATTGAAGAGGATGAAAACATGGTTAGTTTCGATGTAACAAGTTTTTATACTAAAATACTAATCAATATGAGGTTGGAAGCGGTTAGAAATCGACTAAGTTAAATATTGACTCATAACCTAGTCACAGAAGTAAGATATCGGTTGATGAGATTATATTAGGCATAGAGTTGTGCCTGACCTCCACAGTCTTCAAGTTTCACCACAAAATACATAGACAGGAGAGAAGAAGAAGCAATGGGATTGCCAATATCGTGAATCGTTGTACATGTAATAAATGGATAGTCGGGAAAACCTGGCTTTACGAATGTTTAATTGTGTACCTGGGGTATGGTCCCGATTAGTTGGTGACAGATTTATTGTGTTGAAGTTGGAACATATCGACAATTTCCTCAAACATATAAACTCAGTGGTAGACGCAGTCCAGTCCGCTTACGAGGTAGAAAATGAACAAGGAGAATGACTGACTGACATATGTTAACTATCCTCAACTTCCAGTGTTTGAATCATGAGTTTTATTGGAGCACAGTACCCCTCACTTAGAATAGTATCCTGTAACTCCGGAACTTTTGAGTTATGATATTTATTAATTATGTGAAAGATATATTTTGATAATGCACGTTGTTATGCTCCGTAGTTTTTCATTTTAAAACTGAAGAAAGCTCTTATGTTAAAAATGAGTGGTGCAGCTCACCTAAACATATTCAGCATCGGATATAACTAACCATAATATCGTGATGTTGACATATAGTTAGGAATTGTAATGCTAGTTGGATGATGCAAATTTCTATCTCATACTCGACATTCATTCCCTAGAGGTTACAAACACATATTGCTGATGAGTGCCAACAAACGCGAAACCTAGATCCTGTCAACTGCCTTCAACCAAATAATATCCATCAAAGTGCACCGCGACGATAAGCCTATTAGCTCGGTGGTTATATCGTCAAGTGATAAACAGAATTCGGTCAGAACTCTTTCTAGTGATCAATCAATATAGGATTTGTAATATTTTTCATGATGGATCAGTGAAATACGATCCATAGACAACGGAAGTAAACTGATAATCAAGCAATCGGCATTCTAATCGCCTGAAAGCATGTTTACTAAGGTTTCAGTAATAATTTAGTTTTTTGCACATAATTTGAATAAATAATCAATAAATAAATATTTTATTTCAAAGCAGTATTCATCATGGACTGATATTAGTTGGGGAACCATTGAAAAGCTGGGAGCACTGGATGGCTGTTTCGTCTTAGTATGGGGCTCCTCAGCAGTACGCACCCACCACCCGACTAGGGATCAAACTCAGGACCTTCAGGTTTCACGGCGAACGCGTTAACCATTCCACCACTGGGTCGATTCCTAGTGGTTCAAGATTTCCAACTTCTATCGACTCACGATATAGCGCGACTATCACCCAAGGTCTTCAGTTAGCATCGGTTCACTTACGACTGGTTGACATCCATCTGGAAGCAAGTCACCAATGAGCACTATACAGTAATACATTTTTGAGATGAATGAGAATTTTTAATTTAGAGGTGGCTGAACGGTTAATGCTTTCGCCGTGAATCCTGGAGGTCCTGAGTTCGATCCCTACCCAGGTCGTGGGTGCGTACTGCTGAGGAGTCCCTTACTAGGACGAAACAACTGTCCAGTGCTCCCAGATTTTCAATGGTTCCCCAATTGATATCAGTCCATGATGAATACTGCTTCGAAATTAAAAACCCCCATTTATCTCAAAAATATTTTATTCTCATATTAATAATTTAACATGAGAGAAGCCAGTTTACAGGCATCATCACATTGATATATGTTGGAAAATGTACAAGATTTTAACGGACCTGAATGGTACGGAAGGGAGGTCATTAAATTCGATTAAAAACAACAAAAGGTTACATAAGTTATGAAATGAACAAGAAAATACCACTTTTCAGCATATACAGAGTGTTAAAGTTTAGGTCGTTTTCAGTCATACTTTCTTTTTTCACCATTTGTGGGACCAAGGTCGCTCAAAATTCCAAATTTTCGTTACAAGCAATCAACATGTTTGATTCGTCTTTGCAATGCCCCATTACGCTAGATAAACGTCTATTTTACCATAAATTCTTATGCTTATAGCTTCAGAGACCAAAAGAACCCACACTGACGATTTCAAGAATCCGTAAGTTTCCACATAATCATGTAATGTAAGTGAATATCTATTCAAGTGTTATCATTCATAGCAATATAGATTTACGCTATCAGAATTAGATATTGTGGTGCAAAGGAATCAACATTTGAAAAAACTGTGGACCAATGGCAATGCGTTTTTCATACCGTTCCCGTTATGGTATGCAGCATTCACTGTTAGATGAAGTACTAGAGAGGTCTGTTGCATAGCATTATTTTAAATATGTTCACTTTAAAGTTAATAGGTGAGTTGATCTCCTGGGTTTTACTGTCTGTCCAGATTTTCGATGCCATTATAACCGTCCAGAAATTTGAGTAATTTGAGGATTGATAAATGTTCATACGGTGAGAGGGTCAAATGAGTGAATGGAATTGATAATTCTTACTTATTGGACAGTAATTTTCATGGGAGCATAGTTTCATTGCTTTGAAAAAAAATGGAATATTGAAAATTAGTAACGTATATCCCTCATTTGTATCCTGTTGTCATCATTGTGAAGGTTATCTTGATGATGTAGGTCTTCGAGGTTTCGAGTTAAATCTTTTGTTCGTTTAGCGTTCAGATTCCCAGATGATTTGGTAAGTTTTCATCATAGTCCAGCTTTTTCATAGTCTAGTGATATCTCCACGTTGCAACCATCTGAAATTTCGGTAGAAAAAACAACAACAACAGAAAGAAAAAAAGAAAAAACCAGGTGTAGTCTCTGCACCTTTGAGGTTGTATTAGTGGTACTTTTTAAAGTAGTGTAGAGTTGAGCAGTCACAGTGTTTGATTCTCCTGCTTCCCTAGGTAAACTGTTCCATATCTGAGCATATATACATTACTGTTCTAAAATAAAATAAAACGTCAACAATCATATGCTCATTTGTACAGTTGGCAATAGTCCATACCTATCATGTTAGGGTTAATGATACCACTTGGTTATCTAGACATTGGTGGATGAAATCAGGTTTCGAAGATACAACCCACTTATTGAAAATCGACTACTTAAACCATTGAGTTATACAGCTTCGTACACTATAGTTCTAGACAATGCTTAAGTCGATCATTCTACCCGTTTATAAATGGAAGAAAGGTAAACAGGTATGTATTTATTATAAAATTATTCCATTGTATATTTAATCAGTTATTTATTTATCATACATATAGAAATGTAAAAAATATTTCTTGTATTTTTCAAATGATTAACTGAATAAATTATACACACATAGAGAAATATTCAATTAGCTGCTCTTGAGATTGCTCATTTAATGCTGCATTGGTATGAAATGAAACCATAGAGTTTCAATTGTGATAACAGTATTCAATTGAAGCAGTGAATATTAGAGTCAGTGGTTTGTTAATACCTTCCTAATAGAAATTATTCAAAAACATGTAGTGTAATCTGTAGACTGTGAAATTCTTGAAGCTCATTTTATGATTTCACAAAGAAATTTGTTACATTGAATGCCTAATGTTAGGAGATTGTGATTAGTCGATAGTTTTGTGGTCTTCAGTGACTAAGTTAGATGTAGCGTATGGTGGAAGTATGACACTTTGATCATCATTAACAACATAAACATCCACAACGATTGGACTCCGTCGACATGCAGAAGAGCATACATTACTTCCTGACAGACCAGTTCCACCAACAGTATATCCCATACTTGTGCCACTACTACACATCGGATCGTTAATAGCCATTGCTCCAATTCCTGCACGCATATCTGGATCATAAATAAATCCAAAATCGGCACTGGTATGAGCAACAGCAGCCTTTGAACTCTGTGTTGGTGAAACCACAACAGATGAACTAGATGCTTGTGTTCGACGAAAAAAAGAGCAACCAATAGAACTTTGATTACTTGAAAATAAACGTGACAAGTGTTTAGGTAATCCACGTTGCCATCTTGGTGGTCGAGGTCGACCATTTGGTTTGGCTATGTACATTGGAGGTTCTTGGAAATCTCCGAATGAGTTGGGGTATTCACTGAATACAACGGAATTATCTGAACTATGTTTAGCTAAGTTGTAGTCTGATTGGTGGCTAGTAGTATGTTTGGCTAATTTTCTGGAATGATGTCGTGGTAAGCCAGTGGCTGGAAATGTTGAAGTCAACTGCAAAGCTGCATTACAGAAGAGTGTTCCTTTTTTCCACATGACTCCATAGCCAGCGAAATCATGACCACACAGATGTAAAACTGGTCTGAAAGAAAAAATAGTAATAGTTAATGCGTTATTTAGCACAGTTACACAAAAAATGATTCAATCTACAATAATCACTTATAGAAAAGAAAACAGTATACACACATAGTTCATTAGAACACAAATCCTATGAAGATAGTTGGTTAATACAGATCTCTGTGAATATTTACTAACTGAGCGGCCAATGAGTAGGGTAAGCTTACAACCAAACAAATTAGATCTCAATAGCAATCTCCTCGAAAATCACTCACTCAATATTTTGGCTCTCTCAAATTAATCCTTTTATGTGCACAGATAGTGAGTAGAATTTCAAAAGAGGTAATTGGATGTCTCTCGATGTGGAAAAATCAACGGGACCGGATGATCTGCTCAGAGAGCTTGAACTCTATGTACCCTGCCCATTGGCTACTATATTTAGACTACCTCTCAGTCAACGCCCACTAACCTATGGCTGGAAGGATGCCATAGTCACACCTATCTCCGGGGCAGGTTCTAGGCAGCACCCATCAAATTACAGACCGATAAGTTTGACTGGAACTGTAATAAGAATCCTAGAAAGAGTAATCAGGAAAGCCATCACAGTTCACTTAGAGAGCAACACTACTGTCTCATTCACAGCATAGCTTTCGCAGAAATTTCTCTTCCTAGACGAACCTCCTTACAGTCAGAGAAAGTTAGGTTAGGTCCAAAGATAATAGGATACCTATAGATACCGTTCTCATAGACTTTAGAAAAGCGTTCGACAAGGTACCTCACCCCAGGTTGCTTGGGAAACTGGAAAGTTTTGGAATCACTGGGAATCTACTTGCGTGGATAACAGAGTTCCTTGTTGGTAGGAGAAAAAGAGTAGGGATCAATTCTCAACTCTCCTCTTGGAAGTCGGTCGAGAGTGGAGTGCTGCAAGGTAAATCCCTAGGTCCCTTGCTATTTCTCCTATACGCAAATGACCTGCTAAATATCACGAAATCCCCTATGGTTCTCCACCCTGATGATGTAGAAAATCTGGCAGGAAATTAGGAACGACGAGGATATACGTGCACTTCAGTTAGAAGTAAACAGCTTGTTAATCTGGTCAGAGAGGTGGCTGATGCCTATCAACGCACGTAAACGTGTAAGCATACACATGGGACACACGGATGGCAACATTTGAGATATTGGTTGGACTCCTCTATCATCAGCACTGTCCCACAATGACCTAGGAGTCACAATGAGTTATGATCTGAAAGCCACAACACACTGTCGATTGATAACATCTCGGAGTCTTAGAATACTTTAGGCATTACGCGGAACGTCTAAAAAAAATAAGTGGTTATATGTTCACCATCTTATACACACCCCTAGTTAGGTGCAAACTGGAAAAACGTACACAGGTGGACCTTCTGGAAAGAGTTCAGGGGGCAGCTACTCGTATGATTCCTGCTATGGCTGGCCTCACCTATGAAGATCGACTTGAGGGGCTGAACCTCTTCACTTTATCCTATCTCAGATAGAGGGGAGATCTAACCATGCTATACAGGCTCCTAAGAAATGACTTTAGACCTTCCTTTTCCTTCTCACTAGATCGGGACACCTCAGAGGACACAATAGGAAGATACACAAACAAAGAACGAACATAGTCTCTGCAGAGTACTGGTCCTCGCATCGAGTTGTCAACTCCTGGAACCGACTCCCAGATGAAGTGGTGTCCGTATCATCGATTGACTCGTTCAAAAGGGGATTGGAAACGCCCAGAAACCTACTGGGAAAGAATTAATATAGACTCACAGTCTTCAATCTTCAAACAACAAGTGTGAGTCTGAATCTGAAAATACTGTGACACAGCCTACACTAATAAACTGGTGCCGAACAACTTATGTCCTTCAGTAATACATTTCGAAAGAAGCCATATTTAAACCTATCATGGCTTAATTAAAAGCCTTCCTTTTGCTAGTGACAGATGAATAAACTATACGAATGCAGACTACACTTTAGTTACGGTTATTATTCAGTATCACTCTGAATTAGGAAATAACTTCGGATAATAATCAGTTTTTTGAAAATACGAATATTTTCTCTTGTCGTTTTGTTAATCTGAATAAAAAAAGAAGAAATTCCAATCTACCTGGTTGTGATTAGCAGGGGATCCATGGTAAGTGTTTCGTTCCATCCGAGACTCGTCAACGGCTTATGCCTCCACACCAATGAGTGATGCTGTTCCCACTGAGACTCAAACCTCGTACCCACCATTCCAGATGCTTAGGCGTTATCCACTAGACCACTGAGGCATAAACGAAGCCCGTTGTACAACGGGTATTATTTACTATTATTTATTGATATACTTGTAATTCTCCGTTGTTATACTGGGTCAAATTGATCGGCGTCTGTTGAGATCTGCATAAGAGTCTATACGCTTGCAGAAGTCGACCAATAAGATCCAATATAACAACGCGGGAATTACAACTGTATCCACAGATAAGAATAAATTTTGTTGATTCATATAGGTTTGAAACTATTTCTCCTTTAAATATTGAAAATGAGGTTTTAAGTTAGTAAGGAATCTTACAAAAATTTCCAAACAATTAAATGTATTCAGTTACACTCTAATAGCCTTAGATAATGATGAAATTTAAGCTCATTGAATCATAAATGAAAACGTCACAGTTTTGTTTCATTTATCAAAATATAATTAAATAGCTCAGTTATAAGTTGAGACGACGAAAATTCAATTATCAATAGTTAGTCCATAGTACAGTTATGCTTTAATGGCTTAATTTCTAGTATAAACTAATTTTATTGAACGGAAAAAATGTTATCCTTCCTCGTAATCTGTTTATAAAAATTTTTCAAGCAAAGACAAAAGCTTTAAAGTTCAACGCTAAAGAACTTTATGAAAGAATACAGATGAAGAATTCTGGAATAGGTGGTAACTAGTAATCATCACATTCTGATTTCAAATAGTTGCCTTGCTGACATGGTCCAGTGATATTCAGTACCAAGGAATGAATTATTCGATAACCAGAGACAGACAGACAAAATCTAAGTAGAACCTCGAACACAAGTGCATCAACTCAAGTGGTCATAATTCTCAGTAGTACACAAAGAACAAGTGGATGGAAAAAGAGTGATCTCAAGTAGGCAAAGATATATGCAAGGAAGACTTTCAAAAATGAAGAAGACATCACAGAGTGAATACATTTGCGCCATTGTGACCAATTTACAACTATGTCACCAAGAGTTCTCAATCGCTAATTCATTTTGTCTCTTGTCGCAACCCGGCAGTCTACAGCTCCCCACACTACTCAGACTAACAGTCAGGGACTTCATCCGCTACTACTATGTCTTGGTCTGGCTACTCTGAACCCTTTTCCAACCTAATCCAACTTCCCCCACCAGTATGGCACATCGGAGTAGGCAGTGGATCGGCAGGTACAACATATGTCCAAGCCATCTCACTCAATGAAGATTCACAACCTTATCAATCGACTTGCTTCCCTTACCTAGTACCCTTCGCCTGATTTCAACATTGCTCACATGGTGATTTCACCAAACGCCAGCAATGTAATGAAGACCCTTGTTATCAAAATCCAATGATCACTTCATATCTTTTACCTTCAGCGGCCATATCTCACAGTCAAATAACAGGACAGAACGGATTGCAGAGCAGTATACTCATCCTTTATTATTAGCTAGTTTGATATCGCGCTGACGCTACAGATGATGCAAATTGACAAATGCTATACATGCCTTCTGTATTCGAGCTGGGATTTCATCAGTAACCGGACAGTTCGATCTGATGTAAATCCCCAAGAAGGTAATGGGATCGATAAATTCCACCACATCATTCACTATCATTAAACTGGAAGTAGTTGCAGACCAATCCTGGAGCATCATCTTGCATTTGACAGGTGCCAGAGAAACGCATGCCAAACATGCTCAAACTCCTGCTCAGTGTGGTGAAATATCACGACAACCAACACCTAGATTACCTACATTTTTCATTTTAATTATTTTGCTTATGACAAGCTGGCTTTATCTGTGTCGGTCACTTCACCTGCTCTCGTAAAACACAACAGTATATAAACGAACTGGACACCACCAACGGGAAACCTTGGTACTTGTCTAGTACTTAGTGCTCAACCTTAGTCAAAGTCTGTCGATCAAGTTTTTCAAAATGCTCGCTAAGCCAGAGGACGTGACACTGCGGCACAGTATATTTCGATGATAAGTGTTGAGAGCCGATCAGCAGGCAATAAGAGTAAGCCCATAATTAGCTGAAATTGATATGCATGTAAAAAAAAACACTTCTGTGTTTCTGTATCTTCAAGTAACAAATGGTTTTCTCCAGATTTTTAGATGGTATTCCAACAATAATTTCAAGAAGTTATCCAGCAGTATTAGTACACAACAAACTAACAAATATTTTTTCGAAACTTCAAGGGAAGGTGATTGGCTGTAAGTGTTTCCAGTTTCCTTAAAGATCAAAAAAGTTCATTTTACCCATCTTTTCAGAGACTATCTTGTTTTATCATTCAAGAGCACCTTTCAGGAGGTATAATAGAAGAGAAGTACGCATTTCAATACTTCTTTCAAATTGTAAGAAACTAGCATGTTACACCAGAAAAATGTCTGATCAAAGTAATACCATTCATTTACGAATCAACTGACATTTCCAACATGAAACAACTACAGTTTGATCAGCAAAGTTTTCAATGACATCGAATTCCCAATGGAGAAGGAGTCAAACAACCAACTACCATTCCTGAATGTTTCAGTCAGTGGAACAAATGTCGGAAAACTAAAAAGCTAAGTATAAAGAAACCCAAAGCACACTGACCAAATCCTCAACTACAATAGCAACAACCCAACAACACTCAAAATCAATTGCGTGCAGACTCTATTCAGAAGAGCGAGAACACACTGCAGTACAACAACTTCACAGAGAAACGAAGAAAACTACTTGATGTCCACCCTAAAGAACAACGGCTACCCATGAAACTTTATCAGAAGATGCCTATCCCGCAC